ATTACTGAGCCCTTGTGGCATTACTAGCCATTCCCAGAGCATGCCGCTAGGCGTGCTAACTGCGGTATAGGGTATATCCGTTCCCGCATTAGGATTTGATAGAAGCCATCCATCAAATCCATGGACGAAAAGATGGTACTCTTTGACATACCATCAATGATTACGTCCTTCCTCGGTATCGGCGTCTGAGCCGGTACCGTTGCAGCGTTCAATTTGTTAAACGCGTGCACTATCCGCCACCCTCCTGTTGCTTTTCGCACACAGAAGGTCGGAGAGCTATGTGGGGAAGTTGATTCCCTCACATGGCCCGCTGCTAAACGATCGGCAAAGAACTTGTCGATCGCAAGTACTTGTTCACGAGGCAGTGGCCACTGCTTCATGACACAGTACTTCGAGCCTGGTTTAAGTCTCGACTTCGTGTCGAATACCTTTATCCTTCGGTAATTCGCACGGAACAGTTTCAGGGAATACATCCTTGAATTCAACCAAATCTTCATAGAGAGGATTTTCCTTGAGCGATTCCCATGATTGGGACTCATATCGCTCAATTCGTGTCTTTTCATCTAGGACACTCTCGTCCATAGATGAACTACTGAGAACCCTCTCTCGTTCTCAGTAAACACTGTTGCTGACCTTATGTCGGTTACATACTCGTCGTCAGCGACGAGTATGCAGATCTGCTTGACTTTGCCACTACGCAGATCACGCAAGAACCTTTATGTTCGAGCGTTGGCAACTGAGTGATCTCCGAAGTTAACTTCGGAGGCGCAATCAGATCAAGTGTATAAGCGCCTACACATGATCCGTTATTGACTATGACATTCAATGTCTCTGTCATTTCCTGGGGACTTATTCCCTCAGGCTTCGAAGGACTTATTCCTTCGTCTTCCCGGGGACTTATTCCCGCGGGTTTCGGGGAACTTATTTCCGCCGTATTTGTAATCTTGGGACTTATTCCCTTTACTTCCTCTAGCTGGGGTTGCGCAACCACAGCGAGATCCTCTACGAAAGACTCTCCAGTCGATCTAGGATTATCGTTTCGCTTAACCTGAGCGATCGATTGTTTCTCTTCTAGATGTTCCCCTCTAGGGATACATCTTTGTCCCAGTCCACCCGACTTATTCGAGTGGTGGACCTTCGGCGCAGCCTGTGTTTCCTCACAGCCGCCGGAACTTTGCTCCGAAGTGTAACCGTTTGGTACACTAAGGTTTTGTGCAGTCGTACTAACGACCGTACCACAAGTGAGGCCATCGCACTCACTCGTAGTACATCCACACGCTTGTGGACGTCTCCAAAACGTTCATCAGATGGCCATCTGATGAACAAGCGGCAGGCATCGTTACTGTCCGATGTTGCCAGTTTACCCGTGGTTCGTACCTTCTGAGCCACGGTATTCCAAGGATGACATCAAATTTGTCATCCAAATCCAATACGATAAAGTCATCGTCGTATTGGGTATCTTCTAGCGTATAGTGAATCTTCACTATACGCTTCATGACGGTTACGGATGCGCCTGTCGCAAGACGTACCGTCATCCTCGTAGGAGGTGTGTCACATTCACTGAATTTAAAGTGACCATCTTCTAGCGATTGGCGTCGCACAAAATTGTTGGACGCCCCACAATCGACTAGAGCTCGAAGGGACAACTTATTCGTCACTTCGAGTTTCAAGGTAATGAGTGAGATCTCATTACCTAGAGCAGCAACGCACAACGTCTGTGTGTTGGGAGCAACCTTCATCAAGAGGCCTACAAATTCTCTTGACGTTGCTGGATCAGTAGGGTGCTCCGCACCTACTGATCCTGTCCGTTTTTTGACGGTCCATCCCGTTGTTGCGTCTTTGCACCAACTGCGGACCCTCGTCCCTGCCCCTTTCTCATGGGTGGATGGTCACTACGCCCAGTGTCGCGAGACACTGGACGAGGGGCACTACACTCGTAAGCGTAGTGTCCTGTCTTTTGACATCTGTTGCATCTCTGCAACTTCTTGTAGCCTGTAGAGCGAGCCTTCTCGCTCTCTACATAACAGAGTTCCATCGGCTCTGGACCTCCGTTGTCATATCGTCTCGGTTGACGATATGATGTCGAGCTGGCGCGAGCCTGTCTCAGACTGAAGTCTTCCTGCTCCGCAATTGAAATGGCTTGTTCTAGTGAATCTAGTTCAAGCCGGAACAGGTGAGTCTTGACGGGACCATCCGCAAGACCCTGCATGAACACCGAAACCAACGTGTGTTCATCCACCGGATTGGAACTTATACAACTCGTGAGATGTCGTATATGTTGAGCGTAAGCGTGCACATCACGCTTACCCTGCTTGAGCTTCAAGAGTTCGGTTCGAGCTCTGAACTCAGCTCTAGGCGGTTCAAACGTTTGTCTGAGCCGCGACTTGAAGACTTCCAACGACCCAAACGCATATGGGTCGTGCAGCTTGAGCCCCAGTGCCCAAGTCTTGGCACGTCCTGCCAGATTTGACTGGGCAAATGCAACTTGCATATCCCCGTCGTCGATGCGACGCGCCCTTATGGCGTCATCCACCTCGACGAACCATCTCAAGAGGGAGTCTTCTTCGACCCCTCTATACTTTGAGATGTCAATCTTCAAAGTCTCGGGCCGACGCGAGTGCATCGACCCGCCAGCAGCAGCCTGCTGCTGTCTCAACAGTTCAAACTGTTGAGCACCTTGTTCTCTCAACAACTCTGCTTGTTGAGAACCTTGTTGGTGAAGCAAGGCTACTTTCTCGCGTTCTGCGTCAAGTTCATTTTGAATGAACTTGGCGATAGTAGCATGTTGGGCATCTCTATTGAGAGCCTCTAGCATGACGCTAACAGCATGGATGCCCATGGTCGAACCCATTCGTTCAACCGCATCCCATTCGACATCGCTCAAATGGGAGTAGCCGTCACGCATAGCGTGAAAGCTTTGGTCATCTTTCATCATCCAACATATTCATGTTGGATGTGAACGCGGTCCTTGGACGGACTACGAAGTGCTACCAGGTGTAACGGGGCACCCTGAAGCTTGTACTGGTGACAGTACAAGCTACTTATTCTGATAACAGAATAAGGCGGTGCCTCGTAACTTCACGTACACTCGTACGTGCAGAGGAAGACGGTAAGAAGAAGCGAGTACTCGGTTAGAGTAAAAAGTAGAACTGTATTTATAATAGTTAATGTCTGCAATAAATCACTATTTATCTTCATCTAACTATGTCTAAATACAAATGTGTAAATCAGTTATCTGCTCACCACTCATTGCGTGCGTCTGTCGTGGCGCGTCTTCGTTGGTTGATATAATGGCCTATATCAACCAATTAGGAACTACTTGGAAGTGCTACAGAATATTGTCCTTATGACAATATTCTGAGAATATAACTCTTATAGTTATATTCTATTAACAATTTCTTATAAATTGTTATGTAACGATTCACCCCGTTACACTAACCGAGTACTCGCTTCTTCTTACCGTCTTCCTCTGCACGTACGAGTGTACGTGAAGTTACGAGGCACCGCCTTATTCTGTTATCAGAATAAGTAGCTTGTACTGTCACCAGTACAAGCTTCAGGGTGCCCCGTTACACTTGGAGTCATACTCACATAATCGCATAAAGAGATGGCATTCATAGCTCTACCGCTGAACTTGCACGAGCTGCTTCTTGATCGTTCTCTTATTCTATCGAAGACCCCACGGAGAGCGCTTCATCGCGATCATGTTGGGTGCATTGACGCAAGTATACTAGTTGCATGTGACGGTATCAAGAAGATAATTGTTCTGAAGTCGCGCAATTTATAAAAGACTGCGACATCAGTAAACCGACGACTCACTACAGCAGGAACGGTAGCGACCAGAAAACCGCAACTGTCCGACGTCCATGACGCAAACAGACAATGTTTACACCCTATGTAGAACGTCTCGGATCGCTTTCACACAGCTCTCGCTGTAATGTAAAGCTGATAACACGGCAAAACTGAGCTCGCTCAGGACAAACAGCTCGCCAGCCTTGCTTTTTTGTCTTGAATCTACTACTTTATTGCAATGTCAGCGACGTCCGTCGATCTCTTGACTTCCAAGGTCCCAGCCGGTTGTCTAACTTTATATTTGCACCCAGTCGTTTCGGACATGTCCTCCGTCGCACGTTTCTGCGACAGATCGTCGATCCCGAAAGAAAAATCACTTTTTACCAATGTGCGAGGAATATGAGCGGCTCACTTTCCAATCTCACGCAATCCGGAAGAACGAAGATGAACAAGACGAAAGGCGTGATCCAGGCTGGCAATCTCCACCGCAAGCGCACAGGACTATTTGCTAAACTCACGTGCAGCAAGGACCTCGTGTACGTCGAGGCGAATGAAGAGCTCAAGAACGTGACAGTGTTCGAGTCGGAGACCAACAAGGCCACGCCCCTTGCGACCGTCGACTTGTCGTTAAATGCCACGGTCGAGTTTGACTCGTCGATGACGCACGGTATCAAACTGGCCAATGAGAAGAGCACCGAGATCCTTGCAGCCGAAACCAAGGAGAAGCAGGAGGAGTGGCTTCACTCGTTCATCAATGCTGGTGCGCACTATCGTGAAGCATTTAACAAGGAGGACACCGCCAAGATCAAGTCGTTCTACGAGCTAAAGGACGTTGACATGGACGGCAATGAAGTGCCCATGTCCAAGTACAAGGGCAAAGTGGTGCTGGCCGTGAACGTGTCGAGCAAGTGTGGTCTGACGCCCAAGAACTACCCGGAGCTGCAACAGCTGTACGAGAAGTACCAGACCGAGGGGCTAGAGGTACTGGCGTTCCCATGCAACCAGTTTGCTGGCCAGGAGCCAGGCACACACAAGGAGATTATGGACTTTGTGAAGCAGTACAACGTGACGTTCCCATTTTTCAAGAAAGACGATGTCAACGGCGCAACGGCTCGTCCAGTGTTCAGTTATCTGAAAACAAAGCTGCCGGGTACATTCGGCGACTTTGTCAAGTGGAACTTCACCAAGTTCCTAGTGGACCGCGACGGCCAACCCTACAAGCGTTTTGCTCCGAAGGAACGTCCGTTGTCGATGGAGGAGGATATCAAAACACTGCTGGCGCAAAAGGCTTCGGAAGAGTGAAGGGTCGACTAGCAAATTGACGCAAAAGACCTTGACAAGTGATCTGTCAGCAGCCACAATGGTGCTCGATCGTGCATTCGACTGCTGTAATACACAACGAACCGAACTTGAATAACGCTTGTTTACTATGCTGATTTTGACAACGATATGAGATTCAAGGTGCGAACTTAAGCGTCACGAAGAAAGACGGCGCAGGTTGTACGTGCGCGTGATGGTGACGTCGAACTATTTTGATTGATTCCTCATCATCGAACAGCATAAACGTACTTAACCGAAATGCTGACGAATGATGCTGGTGCCAGGTCTCACGATCTGTGACATGTGAGTAGCTGGCGCCGCTTCGGACGTTTCCAGGAAGTTTCAAACCAGCTGTTTAGGCACTTTTTGCGTATAGACGATACACACCTAAGCGCCATTCGCTCCTGAAACTGAGCTGGTAAACCTGATTCAGAGCAATGATGGCGTTACATGGCCTTGATAAGACGCTTTTTGTCCAATCCGATCGCTTGCTCATGACAAAACCCTCTTGCGGGGGCTCTCTGCCCGAGAGAAGGGAAGAGCTCATCGCGAGGAGTTCGACCTTGGGCGTCTGCATTTAGAACCCGTGAAGTCGTCAGAGGTCATTCCGTGTCCCGACTTACTCCGCACGCAAATGGTCCGCGCCTGCCTCGTCTCTCTTTGGCAGCTCGTGCTGTCGGGCTTCAGTCTCCACATCGGCGTCCAGGCCGTGTTGCTTGAAGGTACGGTTTAAAGTTCAGTACACAGTGCAATAGCTGGTCATTTTCCTTCTAGGTGTTTGCTGTAACTAAAAGCTTTACGGTAACTTTGGGACTTCCTTTGTGTCGATGTTTCTACGTTTGTTTGTCGATTTTGTAGCGCCTGTTCTCAAGGAGCTTTCCGTCGCAATACGTCCGTATTTCGACTCAGTAGTAGCGGACGCAGCTGAAGCTGAAGCTGTTGCGAGTTCCGACGTCTCGTTGCCGTCTGAAATGGCATTTGAAGCTGATCAAGACGAGTCGGTATCTAAATGTACGCAGCTTTATGGATTCTGGCTGGTCAGTTGTACTGGTAAAACGTCAATTGGTTGTTGATTAACGCTGAGTCGTCTCTCTACAGACTCTCCGTTGCCACACTCGCCGCTTTTGGTAGCAGTTGGAGCGTGTGATGCAGTGGCGCTGCGTTGGCGCAGCTTCGAGATGCCCATGTGGCCAGTCGAGCGGTTTGTTCTCCAGCGATATCCAGACGTGGAGCACCAGCCGCAGTGGAGCACGCTGCTGGACGAGAATGCCTCGGAGCTTGTGGATCAGAACGTTCAGTCTGGACGCAGGTATGCGTATCGTGTAAAGGCCATTTGCAGGGACAATGTGTCGAGCGCTCACGAGTATCAGTGGGTTCAGCTGGATGATATTAAGAGCGGCAGTAGCTCAAGGTGCCGAGCGTCGTCTTCATTGCTGAGCTCTGTCGACGCGCTCACCGTTGAGGAAGTGCGCTATCTCGGGATCATCTTTGCGTGCTTCTTGACCGTGTATGGTCTCATGCGAGTGAGTGTTATGGGTGTACAGGGCACACAGTCTCGCTCGAGTCGTCTGAAGCAAATTGAAAAGTCCGTGGCTGAGGGAGGAGGGATTGTTGCAGCCCCTGTGTCGATCGGACACGGGGTCTCCATGGTGCTGAGGCAGTCCTCGACGTCCACGTCCAGCTCGTCGTCGTCCGTGGATGGCGACCTTAGTCTGCGTGGCAGCATGCCTGACGCTACCCCAATAAGTACCACCGCTTCGGCTCGTGGCTTGACACGCGCATACAGCTGTTCGGGTCCCATGGTGCGCTCGCAGTCCGTACAACTACCCATTCGAAGCTCGTTTCGTCCCATTTCGCACTCTAGTAGCACCATTCGCGAGAAGGCGACTGAGTGCGGGCATTGTAGCAAGCGCTTTGGACTGTTTCGAAAGCAGTACATGTGTGACATCTGTCACTCGGTCGCGTTGTGCCGCAAGTGCGGTTATCGAGCGTCCGTAGACAGCTTTGCCCACGCCCATACTGGCTTGCATGCGGGCTCAGAAGGTAACACAAGATCGAGTGCTGGCGATTATGGCGCTGGCCGACGTCGTTCGAGCGTGGACCAGCACCAGCAAAAGAAGCTCAAGGTCCGGACGATCTGCAGGACCTGCTGCGATGACGTTTATCGATACTCTGCACGCGCAAGTGAAAGACGTCCGTCTTACACGGTTGCAGCAATGTGAGCAAAACGTTCCTCGCGACCTGTACTTCATATTGACAGTCAACGTCCTGGGTGCCTCTACAAGATGGACAACCACGACTAAAACTAATGGAAATGGCCCTGCATTGTCACTTTTCGAAGCCATTGGCTGCATGTTGGAACGTTTTGAATGAAGAGCCGATAGCATGTCAAGCGTACGAATGCGTCTAGACGTGAAGATCCACTTCGAAAAACACCGCCACAAACTCAGTCTCTAGCTTTGAGTTAGCGCTCAAGAAGTCCATGCAGCTCCCTTTTTTTCCGGACCTGCTCTTTTACTGTCTTTTCAACCAGACCTTGGCCACAACTGTCATCAAGATGAACGATGCCATGCCAGCTCTTCCGATATACCGGCTACTTTGATATGGTCATTCGTGAGGCGTCGTTGTGCGACCGACTATGCAAAATCTTAAGCAACCTCTACTGACGACGTCACATGGGGCTTTTGATATAGCATTTGCTTCGCACAGGGCAACACTGAGAAAAAAGTTTACAAATGGTTGACCAACTCTTAGGGCGAAGCCGATCATCGGTGAACCAAGGCTTCTCGCCTGTTGGGCAAACGCCTTATGCGCACCATCAGCGTTTAGTGTTTCTTCATCGAGCATGTGCTACTGGATCGAGAAAAAGATGGAGAACATGGTAAAACTACACGCGACGCAAGTTTTCCGTCTCACATCAGCGACAGTTCATAGGTGCCGCGTTTACCACGACCCGCGACTGTAGACGACGTTGTTACTTGACGTGGTAGGCTCGTCAATAGAGGGTGTTACAGTGGACACGTTTCTATGCTTGCGTAGTTCAGTTGTCAAGAATACTAGCTCAATCATGTTCGGCACTCCCACCGTCGTCATTGTGACGACACATTAGAGACGGTACGAGCCTGGCTTTGACAACTGTGATACACTCTACGGGATCTACATTTGAGAGCCTGCCTGCATGCGTGCGGCACAGCACCGTCACCCCCGACACGTCCTCACACTACCGTCGCTCGTTGAACTTCATGCGGATTTAGTAGCAGTTGAAACGTGGCAAACTTCTACTGTTGTCCGGCGGCAAAGTGGTCGTCGACAGGCTGCTGACCAAATGCAACCAGACTGAATTTGCTTGTAATATCCTTCCGTCGCTTCATACGCGCAAATGGAATGATATCGATTATGAATCCACACAAGATGTTAACGATCAGCGTATTGATGTCTTTGTGGAAATATCTCACGCAAGCAAAGAATGCATTGGAACAAGGTCGACAAGACGTAAGGTTACCCTACCAGACATGTGGTCTGACACGTGTGTGTGCTTCACACAGGACGTCAAGAGACCTGACGCTTTCTGACACGACATCAATATCGTGCCAGCGTGTCAATCGTGTAAACGATGTAGGGATCAAATGAAGCGCATGCAAAATAGACAGTCGCTGTTCGCTTTGACAATACAAGTCTGATACTACTTGTTTTCTAGGTAACATGCGAACTCGTAGTCGGCGGTAGAGTTGCAATACTGAGAAACATGGAGAAAGCTTCTACACCCTGAGTATTGCGATTTACAGATTTTATCTAATGGTGCGCGGTCAGCCTTACGATGCTTCACGACATAGACTTCCGAGATCGCTGTGTGAACGGGACCTTTGATACAAGTCTCGTGCCGGTCATTCACTAAGAACTACAGGCTTGCTGACAATAAGGATTACGGATGCAGATAAGCAGCCTAAACATATCTCTAAGTTTTCAAGAGTGTACTTCAAGTGTTCAGTCGTTCCATGATCTGGTCGTCACTGTTAGTTTGTCATGTAGACGTCCCTGAGTTGGCTACGTGATCTCCTGCCAGCACTTTAAGAGTCACACGCGCACCCATTCCTTCATCGATTTTAGAATACAATCTTGTCATCCATCTCTTTAGCATGGTGCCCACTAACCGGTAATTATTCTCCAGAAGCAACACGTACGGATCTCCACGTAAGAAAAATGCTGACCAGCAACAAAGAATGGATCGTCCTGACCCTGAGCTTCTGGTAGCACCATCATGCAGGCAGTAAGCGCCATGTGCGCATTGCATGTTGAAAGAATCTCTGTGAGATGGTGATGGTTCCGAAGGTGCTGTGGCGGTAGAGCAGCACACCATCACTGCCAATGAGAAGGCAAGGCAGGCAAATCAAGGATACTGCAAACGTAAAGTGTACATAGGGTGGCACATCACTTGCGCACCGACTTATTGCTCGCGTCTCGCAGGCGTTTTGTACGACGGGTTGCTTCACTTCGCTGCTAATTGGCTCAGCTCATAGCCTCTATACACTTCTCGCGATTCTCGGCAAGGCGATCCCTACGATGGTACTTCGATTGCCTTGCGACAGCTGCGGGAATCCATCCCCTTGCGATCAATCGACCAGGTGGTACTGCCATTGAGCACGACGAACGACCCTCAAGCCGTGAGACGCGAGTCGGAAAGGCGTGCGCTCAGCGACTCGTCGACCGTTGAGTCGTCGAGTCCCGCCTCTTCAGCGCCCTCGAAGCGCCAACAGCGAGCGTAAAAGCAACGACGTGCAAAACTTGACCAAGAGCCAGTGCCAGGGCTTTTGTAAAGTGAAGGTTTGAGGTATTTCAGCCTGCACGTGCCTGGTTTTGCAACATGGCTGCACTATTCCCGCCGTGTCGCAGTGAACAGCGGGACTTGGACCTGTCATGTATAATAAACGACCTCTGCGTTTCGATGCGGAGGTGATTTACACGACTGTGAGACTTGATTTCACGTTGAGACTGCGGACAGTGGCCCGTCTCTATCCTTGCCGTACCGTCTCTTGGCTTGTAGAGGGGGTGGCAGAGTTTTGGTTGCCTTCGGCGACGTCCCTGTCTGTCGCCCCAGCTGCGACGTGTGGAAAAGTGGCTCTCCCTTCGCAGAAAGCGCGTTCATTCCGCAACTTCCCAGCAAGTGCGCACGTCCCGTTCCAGCCGCCCAGAAGTCACCAAGTACCCTTCCCCCCCCCCTACGAAGACATGAGTGACAGTCCCGTCCAAGGCCGCGTGTTCGCCCGCCGCGCCGCGTTCAGTGCACTCGCGAACGACCTCGCCGACCAGACGGCCGAGGCGCAGACGATGTTGATGGAGAAGGCGACCGAAGTGTTTACGACGCATCACTCGGCGCTCGTGAAAGTGCCGCAGAGCGTGCGTGGGAAGGAGCTCGTGGACATGTTGGAGAAGTGGCTCAAGCCCGTGGACGTGGAGACGGAGAAGGAAGAAGCTGTGGAGCCAGAGGCGCCTAAGGCTGAGGGGGAGGTGCTCCAGGGTCAAGCAGAAGCTGCGAAGAGTGAAGAGGAAGCTGGCAAGGCCAAGGAGGAGGAGGCTGTTGCTGCTGTGAAGGTGGAGGAGGCTGTTGCTGCTACGGCGGAAGAGGCTGTTGCTGGTGAGAAGAAGGAGGCTGTTGACGAGGTGGAGGGTGCGAAGAATGAGACGGCATTGGAAGCGCCGCTGCAGTCCCGTGTGCGTGCCAAGGAGATTGCTGAAGCCCTGGTCCTCATTGGCTTCATCACGCCGTACAAGGACCGCGTGAAGAACTACTTGGCCGAGACGATCAAAGAGTACGTGACGGACAACGAGCTGTTCGTGCCGCTGTCGGCGACGATCACTGAGTCGAAGGACACGACGGTGTGGAGTGTCGTGGATGGCGCGGTCTTTGCGTCCCAGCTGAAGCGCAAGGCTGGTGTGTTTTCGGCCTTTACGCAGGGCAAAGACGTGTACGTCGTGGCCAACGAAAAGACGAACAAGATCTACATTTTCGAGTCGGACGTGGCGCGTGTCGCCATTGCTGAGTACGCTGCCGCTGACGGTTTCGTCCAGTTTGACAACACGCACTTCCAGTTCGGTGTGAAACTGGTGTATGGCGACAAGTTCGAGCTGCTCAATTTGGTGACAAAGGAAGGCCAGGACGCTTTCTTGAACTCGCTGCTGAACGTGGGTGTGCAGTATCGCGAGGTGTACAACTTGGCCGTTGAAGAAGCCACGTCGTTCTACGAGCTGAGGGATTTCGATATGGACAAGAAAGAAGTGAGCATGGAGGAGTACAAGGGCAAGGTGATCCTGGTCGTGAATGTGTCGAGCAAGTGCGGTCTGACCCCTACGAACTACCCGGAGCTGCAGCAGTTGTACGAGAAGTATCAGGAGGAAGGACTCGTGGTGCTGGGGTTCCCGTGCAACCAGTTCAAGAGTCAGGAGCCTGGCACGCACGAGGAGATCAAGGAATTTGTGAAGCAGTACAAAGTGACGTTCCCGCTTTTCGAAAAGCACGACGTGAATGGTTCGAACGCTCGTCCGACATTTACGTACTTGAAGGCAAAGCTGCCTGGAACGTTTGGCAACTACATCAAGTGGAACTTCACGAAGTTTCTGGTGGACCGCAATGGCCAGCCGTACAAGCGCTACGCACCAACGGACCTCCCGTTGTCGTTTGAGGACGACATTAAGGAGCTGCTGGCGAAGGCGTCTAAGCCGGAGAAGACGGAAGAAGATGCCAAGGAGGAGGCAACTGAGGCCGCCAAGTCGGACGAAGAGACGACGATGGAGAAGCAGGAGGAAGACAAGAAGGCGGAAGTTGCTATCTCAGAGGTGCCTGTCGCAGGGCAGACTGTCAAGTCGGAAACAAAGGAAGAAGTTGCTGCTGCTGCTATTCCAGAGGTGACGACTACGGAGGTGGCTGTCAAGTCGGAAGTAGTTGCTATTCCAGCGGTAGAGACAAAAGAGGAGACCGTCCAGTCGGACAAGAAGGACGAGGTTGTTGCTGCTGTTTCTGAGATGGCGATCAAGGACGAGGCCGTCAAGTCTGAAGAAGTTGCTGCTGCCCCGGTGGTGACGACGACTGTGATGGAGACTGTCACGTCGGAAAGCGTTCCGGTGGTCGCCACGACGACTGTGATGGAGACTGTCACGTCGGAAAGCGTTCCCGCGGTCGCGACGACGACTGTGATGGAGACTGTCACGTCGGAAAGCGTTCCGGTGGTTGCGACGACGCTTTAACTCAGATCCTCTCGCGACATGCATGCGCCCGCCTTTCCTCATTTGTGCCGGGGAGTCCGATCGTCAGACCGTCCACGTTGACATCGACTATCGCTAGTTACCGATTCTTTTTATTGTAATCGCCACGTCCGAGGTTGCAACGTTTACTTACGGGTCGAGGGTCAGGTAAATAATATCGTGGGAATGAGGAGTGATGGTCAAACTTCAACTTGTTGCAGTAGCTGCAGTTTGTTTTGTACTATGATAGGGACGTCGCAACAGGGACATGTTTTCAACTGGAAAAGGGGCGCAAAATACGGGAAAAGGCGTGAGAAGCCATCACCACGCGCTCCTCCTTCTTCTCTTCGTAAGTCGCACACTGCGTTTTTCGCCTCGCTGTTCTCACCACAAGCTTTGTTTGCGTTCATGACTACAGCCGCGGAGAGCATGGCAGCCATGGCCGAAACTGCTCGCGAGACTGAGCGCACGGAGCGAGAGCTGCTGGAACGAGAGCCGTCGTTTTTGACTGCTTTATCGCCAGTGTCTTTCGTATCGTGTCCTGTCGAACGGCTTTCGTCGAGCATTGCGGTTAAAGGACGAGTGTTCCGGCGTCTGCAGCGGTTCCACTTGCTGCCGTCGGAGCTCAAGACGCAAATTGACATGGTCGCGACCTATTTGCTGGCTCCAAAAGTACGCCACGACGTGTTTGTTCAGCGGACGCACCGATGGCAACATCCCGTTCATTTGGCAAGAGCTGGACAGGGGACATTTGTCCAAGGTCGCAAGCTGCTTGAGGCCATTCTCGAGTACCTGTTGCTGTCCTTTGCGACGAACAACTCGCTCCGTGACGCACAGCAGCTCGCGGAAGGTCTCGTGCTCAGCGGTTTCTTGTCGCCAGCCAACGAAACGTCCAGAGCGGACGATGAAGCACTGGGAGAGCTGTACGTCTCGGACGACTGCTATTACGAGCTTGTAGCTCCTGGAGCTACTGTAATTGCTACAACGCCGAATATCGCGGCTTCTGCGACGGTTTATAGCAGTTCAACGAGTTCATTGCCAGGTGCCGTCGTCCTGCCGATCCATCAACGTCAGTCGTCACCAGAAGGCTGGGAAAAGCAGGCGCGACCGACCAAAAGTGACCATCTTTCGGTCTGGGGCGTGACGGATGGAGCTACTCGCGCAGGGTTCGTACAGCGTGAATGGAAGGGCTTTCATGTGCGAAGTCTGCTTGGCCTTGCAACAAAGATGAAACGCTGCTATGCTGTTGTGAACAAGACGAAACATCACTCGCTAGTGCTGTTTCAGACGGACGTGGCAAGACGCGAGCTTGTCACTGTCGATCTCTCTGCGGCGACTGTGAGGTATCGAGGTGCCGATGAGTTGAAGATCTGCTGGGATTGCAGCGATGACGATGATGGGGTAGAGATTCTGGCCTTGGGGAACAAAGCGGAACGAGAAGCATGGTTGCTCGCGCTGTTGGATGCTGGTGCTGCATTCTTGGAGACAAACGCTGCAATCCTATCGTTTGCGGCCTCGTCAGCTTCCCTGTACGCGCTACGAGACTTGGACGCAAAAGGCAGCACCTACAGCCTGTCAGAGCTTCGTGGTCACGTGGCCTTGCTGACAAATGTACCCAACGGGTCTTGTAGCTCGGATGCCAAACAGCTTTCGGAACTCGTACACGTATCGACTGAATACGAAGACGCAGGGCTCAAGGTTGTGGCATTTCCGAGCGCGCAGTTTGGGGATGCTGAATTTGACACGGATGAAGAGCTCGTTGAGCATTTTCGCGACTTGTTTGGTGTCGAGTTCCTCGTGTTGGCCACGCGCGACGTGAACGGTCCGAACGCACGTGATGCGATGGTTTTCTGCAAGACGCGACGACCAGGCGCTAGCAAGTCTGCTGCAAATGCCTTCATTGAAAACAACTTTGTCAAATTCCTCGTTGGTCGCGACGGTCAAGTGGTCAAGCGGTACACTCCAAGAGACTCACCTCTTAGCATGGTGACAGATATCCAGATGCTATTGAAAGAGCCTCCACCATTGATGGCGACCTAACTACTTCCAGCAAGAAGGTGTCGCTAGCGACAGGCGAGAGGGCAAGTTCGTCGCAGTTGCACGCGCGCATTGATGACGAAAGGTATAATAGCATGTTACGTAGCACTTCCACACATGACTTTAACTGCTTGTTGCGCTGCGATACAACGCTGCTGGCCTGCTTGGCTAACTCGATGCACCTCTACAGCTCCATCATCTCTAGTCGAGGAACGCTTTCTTGTATGCTGCATTGAGCTGCTCCACCACTAGCAGCACGATCATGGCGTTCGGAGCACAGCGTGTGTAGTACGTCCAGTAGCCCCGCCAGAGCTTGGACGGTCCTTCTTTCGTGATGATCTGCTTGAAGCAGTCCGTCACGCCCGAGTACGGGTTCTGGCCGGTCACCGGGTCCACCTTCATGTTCATCAGCCGCGACTTGACCAGGTCGAACGGCAGGGACGTGAAGGCACAGGCAAAGCCCGAGACGGCACTCGCGCCCATGTTCGTCCCAAAGCCGTGGCCATACTGCGCCGCAATCATCTCTTTCGCCTGGTCGTACGACGCCATCATGCCAAGGTTCATGGCCGCTCCACGAGCCACGAGCGGGATGCTCCCTCGCCAGAGCGTCGCCACTCCTTCCGACCGAGCAATTTGGAACACCGCGTCCATGACGTTCTTGTAGCCGCGCGTCTCGCCTGTCTTGGCCAATGTGTCGGCTTGCATCCGCACAAGAGCGACGTCCATGGGACAGCCCAACGTGGCGGCAATCCCACCCGTGACAATAGCAGAGCCAGACTTGATCGATAGCGGCAGCGTCGCGCTCTCGCCCTTAGCTACTCGACGGGCACTCATTTTGTCCGAGAACGCTCGATGCATGCCAAGCCGCGCGGTGCCGTAGACCATTTGACGGGCCACGGCAGCGGAGAGACCGGCGTAGAGTCCAGAGATGCCTTGCTGAGCGATGACCGAGCGAGTGACGCTCAGGCCCGTGACGTTCGCTCCAGTTTGACCTGCGAGCTGCAGATGCACCTTAACGAGATCGATGGGATGGATAGCGACCGCAGCAAAGACAGCGGCCGAGCCACCGCAGAGATACGGCTGAGCTGTGAGTGCAATGGGGGACTTGGTCGTGCTGTTTGTCACGGCCAACATGGCAATTGGAGGTAGAGAGGGAATGGAGGAGGAGGGGGGGAAGGAGAGAGAGATCACCGGATGAAGACGGAGGTGCGGAGCAAGACGTTTGGAGAATGGCAGACACGCGAAAGTGGCAGAAACCGGTGGACGACTAATCGACGACTGACTGGACGAGGACGAAGCAGCAGCGCTTCGACTTATTCGACCCGCAAGTCTTTTTTGCAGACGGACAGACAGACGAACGACCGGTAGTTTACTTGATACCGTCGGAAATGACTCGCTGGCTCTTTCTGTGTCGCTCGCTGTATCTGATCCCTCGTCCGTCGTTGAGATTCATTCATTGTTCATGTTGTTGGTGCTGGTGGTGATGTGGCAGATCCGAGGGAACGTCGTCTACCGCGTGTCTGTCTGAAGGGCAAAGGACTTGCAAAAACTCGTCGCTGGTGACTTTCCATGTCGCGCGTCCTCGTCGCCCTCGTTCGGCCTCTTTTCCTCCTCTTGGCGCTTTGCTTCACGTCCTGGAGCGTGGACGTTCCACTTGAAAGGGGATTTGAAGTCACTGCTAATCTCCACTCGGACTTTGCCCAGCACTACTATCGACTATTCACGCGAGGCGGCGACGTCGCGTCACTGGGACACGTGCGCTCGGATGCGCTGCCTCGTGAGCTGCAGCAGACGCTTCGTCGCTATTCGCTGGTCTTCAGCGACTTGCCCGGGCTCTTGCAACGCGCGATTCTATGGGATGCTGGCTACGTCCTTACGTCGACGCACTCGCTCGTGAAGGTTTACACGCGCTGTGGCCGCTCAATGGCCGAGCTGGTCGTCCCGCCGAAAGCAGTGGAGCGCTTGAAGTGTCCCGTTCGCGAGTGCGTTTTACCGGACGGAAGGGTCTTTCACCGGTCTTTAGATTGCAAGGCGTCGCAGCTTTTACGAGCTGTGCAGTGTGCAGTTGACGTCGCTCAAGACGTGTCGCCACCTGCGTATGCAGCTGCATGGGGAGACGGCATCGACTTGGACACGGTGCCGGAAGTGACGGTGCTACGTCATGTAGCTACTGCCAACGACAATGGCACGTCGCAGTTGATCTTTGCACTGCATACGACCAAGCACGAAGTGGCTTTGACGCAGTGTCCACTCACGCCGGCCATGGTCATCCCTTGTGCACCGTACACTATCGAGAATCAATCGAGATTCTGTCCACCAAGACCTGGGGAGGTCGCGTCCGTATGGCTTGCCAGGTTTGCAGCAGACGAGAAAGAAGACAAGACGTGGCTGCTCGTGCCGTTGTGTATTGTCACGTTCATGACGTTCACCACCGTCGCAGTGTATCGCTACAAGTCGGCGTTGCGTCACGAAGCACAGCGAGAAGTGGATCTCTTTATGCGAGAAAACCAGCATCTGTTTGACAATGGCGCAGTGGAAGCGTTCCTGGTTCCGAAACGTACGACAAGAGACGAACGCTCACGTTCTGCAGGAAAGGGTCATCAGCAGTTGCTGTCTCGCTCCTCTTCATGCAGTCGAAACAGTGATAGCAGTGCTTCTAGCTCTCGATCTTCAGCTGATGCATCCGAGATGCCTCGAAGCTTTGACGATGGGCTCCAGAATGCCGAAGCCTTTGAGCACTTTGACGCCACCATTGGGTTGTCAGCGTCTGCGTTCGATCCGTTGCTAGCATCGAGCGCTCAGCTTGAGCCGCTGCAAATTGAATCGGACAAGAGTCTTCAAGACGTTGAAAGCAGGAACGAGTTGGTGGCACGAAAGAACGAGCTGGTCATCCGGAGCTTCCGCTTGTTCGAGTCACATCGTAAGATCCGTCGCTTGCGACTTCCGCTTGGAGATCTGCAACTATTACGACCGTTATCACGAGGCGCAACTGGAGAAGTCTGGCTGGCACTCCGCAGCAACACGCAAGTGGCGATCAAGCAGCTCGTACCTGAAAAGCGTCGAGTACTGCATGAAATCGAGATGTTTCTCGCCGAGATCTACCTCATGGTGCAGCTGAAACACCCGCACATTGTGACGCTGAATGGCATTGCTTGGAACACACTCGAGCACGTGGTCATGGTCCAAGAGCACATGGAAGGCGGTGATCTACAGCAGTTCTTGGCCAAACAACTGGCTAACAACAGCACGTCAATTAGCTTTGGCAATGCACTTGGGAGGCGGTCAGGTTCCGTATTACCACAAGTCGATGAAGCTGCTGCGGGTGCTGCCACGTCTTCCGGGTCTTTCGGTGGTGGCAATGTTGCTGGAGCTGGACTCGGTACTTTGGCTGGGGGCATGCTACACTCGACGCATTCAAACCACTTTACGTGGTCGAAGCAAAAGCTGGCTATTGCTCAAGCGGTCACAAGTGCATTGACGTACTTGCATGCCCTGACACCAAAGGTCCTCCATCGCGACGTCAAGTCCCGCAATGTGCTTCTCTCGTCTTCCCTCGACGCGAAGCTGTGCGACTTTGGCATCAGTCGACGCAAGTGCATGGGCAACGAGGACGGAAAGACGAATGTCACTGCGACCGCTGCAGCTGGCACGTTATCGTGGACTGCACCTGAATTGCTGCTAGGCGAAGAGTACTCGGAGAAGGTGGACATTTATTCTCTTGGCGTGCTCCTGAGCGAGCTGGACACGTGCACGTTGCCGTACCATGACTTAGCTTCCCTAGCTGAGCGACTGGTACAACATCCGTTACGCTTGATGCGTCGCATCATTGACGACGGTCTTCGTCCCCAACTCTCGGCGGACTGTCCAGTGCCAATCACGCATTTGATTGCAGCGTGTGTGGCGCGCAATCCAAAGCAGCGACCTCATGCAGCTGACGTGGGTGCCTGGCTTGCCAGTGCTCGTGGAGAGAGACTGCTTTGTACTCGCACGAGTGTACTGATCCCTTGAGAGAGCAGCTGGCTGGAGGATGCCACACTCACATGTACGCGTGGGTCTGTCTGGACTGAGGGCTCACTTTGTGCTACTGCTGGATAGTCCGACGTACCTTGCACGCTTGTTGATGGGTTTCTCTGCTCAATCATGAACGTCGATGGTGATGTGAGACTGCAGACAGTTGCATCGCCTGTTTAATGGATCGGTTGAGCCTGGAAAGATACTTTCGCCTTACACTGGCTAACTTGAGGTTATGGTAATCAAACTTGTCCTATTGCAGTGCGAGTCCACCACGAACTCACTCTGACTATCGATAATTTCAATAATAACAGGAGCTCGGACGGCGGGCAAGCAAGTCTGTACTAGACTGTTTACGAACTGATACTAGCGCGAGGCTTTATAACGAGCTACTTCTACACCGAAAGTAGCAGGTTTGCAAGTGTGACGGCATCGTTATTCGCAAAAGACTGATACGCAGGAGGAGGGATCACGAATACCTTTCGCGTCGACCGGTCCTGCTTGACCAGCCAGATCTCTGAACAGTGGTGCTGGAACGTCTCGTGTTAAAAAGGGCTTTCGGTTTCAATCAGGCAAACGCACGCTCACTGTTTGGATCATAACATGGGCTGAGCGCGAGGAAAGGATCTTACCCGGCAACGTTTCGTCTTAGCGGAACACACTGCGAACACGTCATGTGTCGGGTTGCTGCAAATCATTCTGTTTCAAGATGGAACGTGGTTCTCGTAGCAACTTCGGAGGTAACGTATTGCAATCTGCAAAAAATATCGAGTAGAACATTTGTGATCTCTGCTCATTGAACAAAGACACTTGTCGAAAGTGTTTGCCATCGGCTGCTGTAGATCCTTGTGTATTGAACTCCTGTGTATAACTTCGTATTAGCGAGCGTGTGTTGGTCATTATTATTTGTTGCTGTTGATAAAAACGTCTACATTAATAGTCTCGATGGACGGCGATGAATAGCATGGAGCATTGCCGCTACAACGGTGTACCCACCAAGTATGGGAAAACAAGAGAGTTGGACCTGTAGAGAGGCTACGTCACTTAAAAGGGATGGAGAAGAAGTTGATGAAGATAGCATCTGGTCAATCCCTCAGCAGTCTGTGGGCACAGATGCAGATGTTGCTATCGCCTTATAATCGCTGCAATATCCGATGCCTGGTTTCGCTCGCAAGTAGGAACACGACCTGCTTCTTATCTCACTACTAAAACTCAGGATCAAACTCTACCATCTCACGCGCGGGAGATGGTGGCATGAGTCCCGATGAATGACTAACTTTCTACCGCTAGGTCTATGGTAATGCTACGGCCAATTGATGCTAGCGGAGGTGAGAGACTGCTGCAGGTCGACTGAAAGGCAAGATCGGAGGGCTCGAAGAGGCGGCGGTAGAGTCGCCACAGCAAGAACAAGCGCTATCCAATACTTTCTTCCTCGAAGAAGTATGATAGAGGCAAAAAGGTGGAGGAAACAGAGACGCATGTTGTCGTTTGAGACAGGTGTCAAGATGGTTTCTTGCCAGCAGATCCTGTCTTCTCCACGTTATTTGGTCACTTCTCATGTTCCGGCGCCATTCCTTCCTAACAGCAACAAAAGATGCATTAAACCTGTACTATTATGACAACGATGCAGCCTGATGCGAACATTAATAACAAGAGTTAAGTTTCTTCCAACACGAACAAGGACCACACCGCACATCTTTACTTCACACAGTGCAAAGTCCGGTATCTAGCACGGAATCATTCACCCTATCGAACGTCGAGATGTAAAGTACGGATCCCTACGTCCGAACCGCCGGGTGCGGTGACGTTCGAAAAATCCGACGCTGAGTTGGCTCAACACAAGGTTCGCCGCACGTTCCGCTAGTGTGACAAAAACGCGACGCGCTTTCTTACCGGCATCAGGAGGCGATCGATGTCCGGGCGTTCATTTACGCTGCAGCTGCGACCACACGTTACCATCTGGCTCGTGACACCACTAACACTTGGCCTCGCTCTCACCTTGGGTGCTCGTCGGATCCAGAAGCACGACATACAGCCAGCTAGCTAGCTCGATTGGCAGCAAAGGTAGCTAGCTGCTTTGATTGTAAAGCTCCGTACGCGAAAGATGAGAAGCTCACGTCGCTAGTAAACACTTGTGCGCGTTCAATGGATCAGCTATAGCCAGTCAAGAAGTCGATCAGTCGGCAGTAGCAGTAGCAACTGCGTTCACTCAATGAAGCGCTGCAAAGGAAAAAAAATAAGAACCGCTCGCGCACTGGCAGGTGACGACGCGACCAGTGCCGCCGCTGAACGGCTTGCCCGCCATTGCGAGTGGCACGTCTTCAGCCAGGTGGACGCGCAGGCTGTTTTTTCGCGCATGGCTTTGCAAGGCTGCGACTCAGCGGAGCGCGACCGCCTTTTCCGACCAGTAAGCGGCGTGCGTCCAAACCGCCTCAAAGCCGGGTCTCCGTGCCTTGCGTGTGTGGCTGCGAACAGCGTGAAGCCTCACGCGTCAGTATTTCTGCCCCCTCTTTTTTCGGAGCTCTTCGCTTTGTCGAGCACCAGATGATAGTGAAGATCAAGGCGATGATGATGATGATCATGATAGCGAGGGGCTCGTCTGCTCAAAAAGTATCTTGACGCCCTGTCTCCCGTCACGGGGACGCGACCCAACGGGTCGCCTTTTGCGTCCACTGATTGGTCCCATGCCTCTTCCCCGGCAGTCAATGGCTCTCGCTGCTGCCGTCGCCTCCCAGCACGAACGCACCTCTTTGTTTGTCGCCGTTTCTCTTATCTTGAGCTCATTAGTGAATTGGCGTCTTTGGGCCTACACGGACTCGGTCCCGAACGCCCGAACACTTTTGTATTGAAGTTGAGGTCAATGCCGTCTGGCCGAATCGACCGCCCAAAGTTGGACGCGTCGGATTCCAGGACGTTGAAACGAGCCCGTCTTCTGTCACATCGTGACTGCACTTTGAGTCCCAAAGCTGCAGTCGATGATGGTACTGGCTTGCCTGCTGCACTCGCCGCGTCCGCTATTGCGTGCAAAGTGCCCAAGTTTCTGCGGTCCTTGTACGCGATTTTGCAGACCGAAGACCCGCACATTATCTCGTGGGTCCAGAACAAGGACCTGACGCCAAATCGCGTCACGGCGTTTCACATTCTTGAGATGGAGCGCTTTGAGCGCGAGATTTTGCCAAAGTACTTTAAACACCAGAAGTTTGCGAGTTTCCAGCGCCAGCTCAACAACTTTGGCTTTCGGAAATGGACCAAGACGCAGTCGAGTGGCGTCTGTACGTTCAGCCACAATTGCTTCCCACCGGACCTCTCGGCTGCCACGCCTTGCAATATGTCCATTCGGGATCAGTGGAGACAGAAGAGCACCCAGGTGCAGACTTCCGTAGCCGCTGGGGGCACAATGGACAGTCCGTTGATGAAACGAGGTTTTGTAAGCAACGGCATCGCCACTGCCAAAGCACAACATCTTCGTGTTGACCACTCGAGTGTCTCTCGTCGACGGCCAGTTCATGTGCAGGTTCCAGGTCGCGATATCGTCGCTACAATGTCCCCGTTCGGTGAAATGTACCACAGCCCCAACTCGACTGCTTGTGTGGACAGCAGTGCCTTTCGTCACCACCTGAGTCACCAGCCTCCTCTGAAGAAGCTAGCACGGCCTCACGTTGTTGTGAAGCAGGAAACTTCCGACTTGCTTGACGGGTTGGAAGCTTTTTGCGACGACTCGTTCAAGCAAGTAGTTTTGCCCCCGCTTCAGCCGCACTATCTCCAGGCAGCAACCCCCAGGAGTACGTTACAGTCTGCATCGCTGGCATCTTCTTTCTCGATCCCCAGTGACTTCGGTACAGTACAAGCTCCAAGTGGCTGTCGTTTCCCACTGCCTCAGGTTGTGAACAACCCTAGCTCGTCGAGTATCTTGCCAGCTGATGGGGGGTGTGGAAGCACTGGTTTCAAGTCATTTGACATGAAACAACTGAACGAAACACCGCTGAGTAGCATCCGAAACAGCTCAACCAACGGAGCGGCTGATGCAGCAGCTTTGCAAGGTGCTTTTCTGGAGCCATGGATGTGGGACGCACAAACGGGATCTTCGAGCTTTGAGCTCGCCTCGGTCCCTCTCGAATTCGAGTGCAGAAGACCGGATTTGAATTGCAAACCCGATCCCGAGTGGCAAGAGATCTCTGGTGCAAGCACTTCTTATCAAGTGATGAACGAGTTGTCGGCGGACGTGGGTACGACTGATCTGTTGAATATAGAGCTGTGCCACCAGCAGGATCGCGGGGAACCTTTGAATTCGGGAGATTGTGGTCTAGAGAATCTGCTTTTCGCCGAGTGGAGGAAGAGGAAGGCTTGAGTGCGTGTTTGCGTGTGCCAAGGGCATTGAGGAGCGAGCATATAACACGCATGGTGCATCCATTCGAACACCAGAGAGATGCTCTTTGAGACCGTAAGCAAAACGAGGAGATGGAGTCAGTGGCGTAGCGTGTAATTGTAGTGCGTTCGAGACGAGCGATCACGTCAAGGGGAGAATAAAGGACGACAATGATAAAAGTTGCGTAGTGTCTTTTTCGATGCCAGGTGCGTCACTTTGGTTTACTGCACGCACTGCTTGCCAATGATAGACTTCAGTGGACAGGGTACCTTCCCATGTGCAGTACCAGCTGTAGAGCCTGTTGAGATGTTAAATCAGTACTGCACAAAAACGACATGGTCAACTTGTCAGCAGTGGCAAATGACTCTGCGACAACTACAAAGCGACAAAAGATGTATAAATAGCTTTATTTTCAGATGCAAAAAGCGCAATATATCGCTCGTTAGTGTGACCCACATGAATCTGTCGTTGATGTGCATCACAGCATCTGCGCTACTTCATGACTCGGATGGACGAGAAGCTCCGCGTGGCACTCACGCGCCGCCGTACCGTGGGTACTCTGCGTACCCTCGAAGTTTCCAATGAAACTACTGACGCTACAGTGGACTTCTACTCGAACGATTACCTCGGATTTGCCCGTCTGCAGTCGCTACAGGATCTTGTGCGGACACGACACAAAGAACTGCAGTCTCAACATGGGTACACTTTAGGTGCAACAGGGTCCCGGCTAATTTCAGGCAATTCGAACCTTTTCATGCAAGTGGAAAAAGACTTGGCTACATTTTACAACAGGTACGTTGCAGCAGCTTAGTGAGTATGATGGGCCAAATCCGTTACCAGGCATTCGTGAACGGACTCTATTGTAATTTCGTTGAAGACTGATGAGGTATTGGTGCTACAATGTTGCAGTGAGGCAGCGCTGGTATTCAATTCGGGATACGCCGCCAATTTAGGCGTTCTCTCTTGTATCGCTCAGGTAGAAGACGTGATTTTGTACGACGAACTCGTGCATAGTTCGTGCCACGAAGGCATTCGACTGAGTCGCACGTACGCCACGGGCCGCTCCTTTGCCTTTCGTCACAATGACATCGAGGACCTCAAGCGCAAAATGCAAAAGTTTTGCATGTCGACCTCTTCGACTGGAAAGGATGCAGCCAAGACTTGTGTGTACGTCTTAGTAGAGTCACTTTACTCGATGGACGGCGATTTTGCTCCGTTGGAGGCGATGGCAGCCTTCTGTGAAACCATGGGTGCGTTTCTCATCATTGACGAGGCTCACAGCACTGGTATGTACGGACCTCAAGGCTCCGGTGTAGTCCGTCAGCTAGACTTGGACACGAAGTACAAGAGCTCTGTTGCTTGCCGAATCCACACGTTTGGCAAAGCTATGGGCTGCCATGGGGCCGTGGTCTGCGGTTCTCAAGTGCTGATCGACTACCTCGTCAACTACGCGAGGTCTTTCATCTACAGCACGGCAGTTTCGTTCCATCAGCTTGTGTCGATCGCCTGTGTGCACGAGTTCAGTGCCAGTTCCGAAGCAGACGCGCTTCGCAGCTATACGATCGAGCTCATTCAGTACTTCAAACAGAAGATGAAGAGCAACGAATCTATTCCTCGCAGTGCTATCCTGGCTAGCGACTCTCCAATTCAAAGCATCGTGTTCAATGGCAACTACCGTGTACTGAAGGCTGCGCAGCTCCTGAACGCCATGGGCATTCGCGTCATCCCGATTCGGTCTCCAACAGTGGCAAAAGGGGCAGAGCGCTTCCGCATTGTCATTCACGCACACAACACTCGTCATCAAGTCGATAAGCTCGTGACAGCTCTTGCGGCCGTGTTTCAAGCTCATCCAGCAGTCTCCAACTTGTAGCGAGCAGCCACTTCTCAAGATCATGTAGCTCTATGCTGACCAATCCAATGCTATTGAGAACCCCCGACACAACATCACGACGCGTAATTACACGGCATTGTCCACCCGAGCCGTCGTCGCTCCTGCACGCAACGTGACCGACGACGCATCGTCTTGCATGGCTGCCTTGGCCATCGCTCGTTGCAACAGCCTGGCACAGCCCATATTGCCGCTCTGCTCGGCAATAAACAGCGGCGTGTGGTCGTCCACGTCTTCCAGAAAAGGGTCCGCCTTGTAATCCAGCAGCAGCTTGACACACAGCGCGTGGCCGCCCAGAGCAGCTAAATGCAGCGGCGTCACTCGACGTTCATCCATCACGTTTGGGTCGCCATTGGCAGCCAGCAAGAGCCTCGTGCACTCGTTATGACCGCCACGGACAGCATAATGCAGCGCCGTGAGGTTCTCTGCACTTGCAGCGTCCAGGTACCGGTTCGATGAATTGACCCAGCGCTTGACCACGCGGGCATTCCCGACTTCAGCAGCTTGACGGACAAAACTCGGGAGGTCCGAGGTAGAAGCTGTGGACGAAGTGGACGTACCACTTGCTTTGTCACTTGTATCAGTACTGCTTTTCACACGGGCCAGGTCCTCGTCTAGGACGGATTTGCGCTTCTTGCGCAGGAGTTTGCGGGCGAGGACCTGCAGCTGGTGTTTCTGGTACGAAGACGCGGAGACGAGGAAGAGGAGCAAGAAGAATCCAGCGATGCCAAGAGCGAGTGCGAACGGGTGGATGTGCGTCTGTCCAGGGCCCGCGAGGCCGGCGTTCAAGTGCGCGTAGGCGTTGGTCGGCGAGTCCATGGGCTGCATGGACGGTAGGAAACTACGATACTGGACAGCCAGTGTAAAACGAATATGCGGTAAGCGAGGAGGTAATTACAGCTTAGGGGAGTTGATGACGTTAGGACGACTCTATTTTTGTGAAGAATACGACGCAACCGAATTTTGGGAGGGTGCGGATTGCCGGTTGACATCGCACGGTTGACGGAGTGAGCCCGGAATTTAGAGCGACTGTAATTAAAGGTCGACGGTAGAATCTTATCTATTTTTACCGCTCTGTTCTCAAGTAGCTGATTCTGTGCGAATATTTATTCGAGATCCACCAATCAAGAAGGAACACGCAATGGGTTCCAAGTGATAATTGCGAGCCTGATAAGTGAAGCTAGTAGTGAGTGTGCGCACGGTTGAATGCCGAACTTTTAAATCGTACTTACCTGTGCGTGTCTGTGTGTGTAAATGTGTCGGTAAATACCGCGGTTAGGTGTACCGGACTCAGACTAAAAAATAGGACAATGTGACCAATTCAACCTGACTCATACTAAATACGATTTAGCTTGTCCTCCCCTGATTGATCGATTAGCATGATAGGTAATCATCACTCATTGGCTCGGTCAATATCGTCGTGCATGCACCTGATTGGCTTAAAATTGATCTTAAGTGAATATGGTCATGTAAGCAAACATTCGACGCTCATAAGCACAGGCAAATAGCGTTGCCTGAGTATACCGTACTGGGTTAGCGCTGACATTAATAGCACCATACTCATTCTTCAGTGTCTGCCGTAGTATAGTGTTTTGCAAGTTGATTTAGTTCTCCGAACTGGATTACTCACAGGGAAACGTTACTCAGCCACCATCCTTTCATTATCAGCCATCATCGACCAAAAATTAATGTAGTTTTTAGATTCATTCTGAAAAACCTTGTCTTTGATTGGCCACGCAACTATTTGATGATATAAAAGCCATTCGACCGGTTTTCCTACAATGAATTGAAATCTGGTACTCTTGAGCTAATCTAAATTGGTGGCGGCACTACATACATGTACTGACGTTGTTATTTCTGTGTCCAACAGACGAGCCAGAAGATTAGGTACAGCTTCTATTAGATCAATGAATCGTGCTATCGCTTTTCGTCACGTTTGTACACATTAAACGTTACAAGTGGGCCAATTTGGGCCAGCTGTACGGACTGCTATCTTTAAGGTGGACGAGTTCTCCTTGATTTGAGATCAAGAACATGGTGCTATCATGTGCTGCTTCAATCCAGGACTCGGTCACAAGGCGAAGATGATGATGGGAATGCCACCAAATAGGTCATCAACCTTACGATTCGTGATTGACGCGACAAGAGAAAGAGATGCCGAAGCTCTTTTGGTAAAGCATCGCGACCGCTATCATGGTTCAAATAATCGACTAGACGAATGCACTCCAATGCAGATTTTATGTCATGAAGACGTGTGGTGCACTATTGCACCCTTCGTCGTTGCTGTATTAAAGCTTTTATAAGATCTGATCAAATATGTAAATGGTCTTGTCTTTGCTCTCCAATGGTGATCTTACATTTTTGGTGGTTGCTTCTGATATTGCTGGACTTCTCCAAGCACTATATCCTGAAATTGATTCTTTAGCAGATAGTCTAGCAGCATGTTAAACTGGAACAGAAGTACTGAAAGAAGTTTAAGCTAGTTACTAGCCTTCGATCATGGAAGAAGGGGTTAGAAATGGCCAGCGATCATTACAGTGACGCGCATAGGTGTGCTAGTTATTTAAATTGTTGGAATAGCTTTAAGTGTAGAGGTTATGATGGGATTGGCCGACCTAAATTCACACGGATAGGTATATCGATAACGGACATGCAACAGGGCTTTGTCGGCCATTAAGGATCTCAACGATACAGAAAACAAATCAAAACAATTGCGCCTTATTTAGGCAAGGATTCGTCAAGCTAGCTCAACCTCGCGATGAAAGGGGTGATGACTTTGACGGTGGACACGATATTAATTCGTAACAAGCAAGCGTCGTGAAGTGTGTGGTGTTGCTAATTGGTATGTTTTCATACTCATCATTCTCGAAGTGTTGGATAGAATTTTAAACATGAGAAACGTATTGTGAGTAGTGGCAGTACCAAACGTGAAGTTATAATGGGTACGCATAAATTATAATGGTGCTACATTCGAAGAAGGTGACCGTGTTTTTTACCGATTGTGCGTGAAGTGTATATCGAACAATTAAAAAGAAGATTAATATTTAAAGATAAATAAGAAGTCCATAAATTTATACTTGTTATAATATAATTAATAATATATAATAAGATAAAAGTGGTGTCAGTGACTCTAATACTGCGCGTCGAGCATGGAGCTATCAAGAGACAGCGCAGAGTAATGAGCGAAATCAAGTATGTACATTGTTTTCTTCTGCGCATCGACGAAGCCATCAAGTATTTAATCACATGGTAAACGTTAGATGTAAGCCAAAATGAGTTGCTTTAACTTGTTGGGTTTGTAAAATCAAAAGTTAGACTCAACGCACTGAAAATACGAATTAGTCTATCTCAATGTAGCAACATTATTGACGCTATGCAGAATTTCCCCCCGATAAGTTATCACTCTAGTAGATGATCAATTTCCGCGTGCACGGACCTCGTTCTGTGGCCGCTAAGTTACACGGTTTAAGTTATGATCAAAGAGAAAAACTTAAATTTTAAATATGAGCACTTATTATCTTATTATAGAAGACGGAAACTATTTGAACTACATGTCGAGGGTGTTTTGGGTGGTGAGAGTGTTGCGAAGATCAAGCTGGAGGTTGCTAAGGACTTTTTAAGCAGCTTGGTCACGTTCCTGGAATACGTCGAGCAGGGAGCAGGCATCACGAAGGAGATTAATCTTCTCGATTCTGGTATATTTTTGCGACAGGTGCCGCATCTTCATTTCGTTCCTCCTTATTTTCTGCCTCTAATACCTCTTTTAGAATCTCAGTGTCGGTTAGCTCAGGCCGAGCAGTCTCACCCCCTTTGATGGGATCGAGAAGATTCGAAATCTTCATGGGATATCGGACACGCAGCTTCTTGAGCTATGCTATCAGCTCTTGCTCCAGCTCACTTTCTTCCTCTTCAACCTCCGTTGCGCCATCTTTACTCCTTTCCACCTCCACTGCACTTGAAAAGACCGAGTCAGTAGAACTAGCTTCGTGTGGATGAAGCAGTTGGAAATGGTAGCGCTTGAAACCTCATTCCAGGCAGCCACCGATCAGCGCATGGTAGCAAGTTGGTCGACTTCGTACATGTTAAAACAATATCAGCGCTCTTCACAGTCGATCGCATTCTACAGATGGTAGCGGCAATACCGCCGCTTGAGCGCTGCGATGAAACCAGCATCTATCAGTCGAATCAGGGGGGTCGTATGTGGTGGAAGTAGCCGGACCTTGAAGTAAGTTAACGTAAGGTCATTCGTCATATGCGATGGAGCATTTTCAATTAATAAAGGATATCTCTACTTTTGATTTGAAGAACATACAAAATTGATACAGTAAGTGTTCTAATTGCAGATGGCTACGCACCTTTATTGTTCTGTCTAGACTTGCGAGCCATTCCTGGAAGAACATGCCTGTCATCCAAGACTTCATGTTGCTGCGATAGAAGCATTTATGCGCTTGGCCTGATTTCTTGTCAGAGCAGCGAGACTTCTTGGCTTTTCCGATAACTGAAGGCTGCAGCTTGTCAGAGTCATCAACATTTGCAGTGAGCGCAATTGTAATCCGCGATTGCATTGGATCTCAGTGCATCCCCCTGTGCTAGGATACGGTTACAAGCATTCTGCAATATATCCACCTTGTCTTTTTGTGTCCTTTAATTTCATGCTGTGCAATATTCCTGTCAGGTGTCATGCTGTAACACAGTCCTGCAAATTAATTTTGTCAGACGTGGTTTCAATCAGAAATAGAACAAGCAAATTGTACTGGTTTCATCCATATTTTAAACATCACACAGCGCTTACTCTGCGATGACCTTCTTAACATTAGGCAGAGCTTTATTCATTGCATCCACGTCCACCGAGCCGCTTTCATCGTAGATGCTAGTAGCACGTAGCATGTGAAGTTGCTGGAATTTATAAAGCCATCCGTGCGAGAAAGTGATGGCGTCGCAAGGAGTACCAAGCAATTGAGCAAGACGATGATCCTTCGCACGGATGATATCCCGGTGATAATCAATCACTCCGCGGTGTTGACAATGCAGGACCCACAGAGACACTACTCCTTCAAGTATGGGATGTTGAACCAGTCGCTGTCGCTTTGCAATTAGGATGATTATCTCCATATTCTCCAAATTAGATCGCTTTTGAAAGATCTTGCTGATTGATACCTATGACAGCGTTTTGACAAGGCTGAACTCCACCGTAGCTCATTTAGCCAGTGCTGTTTGAGATAAATCCGGGCTATCATCCTTGTTTTTGCATATTTGCAGACGTTGTCCATTGGTAAGGCGAATCTGCTACATTTTATACTGCTCAGATATCACACCAATAGGCAAGACACGAAAAAATGTAGATTTGTAGCTTTCCCTATGTAATAATTGTTAGCTCAGAAGAAAGAAGCTATGGGTGTGTCTCTTAACGTTTAGAAGTTAGCAAACCAGCCAGGGGCCTGAGCCTTTTTTCTAATTCAGCAGTGAAAGCCTTAGGGATGAATTTTGGCTTGTTCTTAAGGGAAGTGGGAGGTTGGTTTGGGTGCCCAGCTCCGCTTTTTTATCACTCAATTGATTGATTCAATTTATATACTATGCACAAAAATTAATCAATTATTGCGTCTGCTAAGTTAAGGTGATAGGCGTCCACTCGTACCCATAATTATCGGAGTGAAAACTATACCTACATACCTATGAGAAGAGGACAGGCTTGATCGCACGTAATACGTGCAAGCTACATTGATTTGAGTTATTTACTGACACACAAACAAAAACAGACATACACAGATAAGTAAGCTTAAAAAGATTCGGCATTTACCTTGCGCACAGTCAATAATAGCTTAACGTAATGTAGACACTAAATTACAAGACGGAAAAGAGGCCTGACTGAGGCAAATTAGTGGACGTTCTCTTGTGACTAGTGATAATTCTCTTAGCTTTTAATGGTATACTTCAATTTAGTCAAATGATTAGTCTACGATGTATGTAGATGTATTTAGCAAATATGTTTGTGTATATAAACTGGAGAATCTTATTAAAAAATTGTCTAAAAAAGTGTGATGCTAAAACAAGGATTTAGCCAAAAAAAACAAGTGGGTAGGCGCTAATCAGGGGATAACCTACAAGCGTGGGAACGTCCACACTTAACGTGATAATAGTAAGAGTATTCTGCTAAGATGGGAAGCACTAGATGATTGTAAATGCAATATTATAGAGATCTGAACTAGGAGCCGGGCGAAGTACATCAGTACGAGTGTGATGAGTTGCAGTCCGTGACAAGAATAATAACAAATTTGTTGGAAAAAGCTCCTGCGCAGCGCCAAGGAATCGGCAACTTTAAACAGCGATACAGCAGAAGATGAGAGAACCTACATCCTGGGTGTTTTAGACATATTAATAGACGTAGTCGACGATTGAGTCTCCGTTGGAGATCGCACTGATTTTAACCACACATGTTGGGTGTAACTAAGCGAGCAGGTGATAGTACGGTGCATTAGTACGCCTGATGAAATGCGTTTGGTCCACTTTTCCTTTTTGTAGGAATGTAACACATAAGGACAGCCCATACTTGTTGCAAACCTTTTTTTTTCAGAGCTAGTTTTTTGGATAAATAAATGCGATGGTATCCTGCCTGCGCACATTGCATACAAACCTTACTTATACGTGTAAGATATTACCAGTTCGCCGAATTTTGTATAGCAATCTTAAAGCCATTCATAAATGCGCAGGCGTGAAAAGGAATCTTTACTTGCTCTAGATTTTGCAGATATATGCTTAAAAGGGGTTCGAGGAAATGAACCCAAGCAACTCGTTGTGGTCGTTATCGGGGTTCCATTTTTTGAAGCGGTTGTGTATAGGCAAAAATTTATAGAAATCGCGATTTGACGGCGGTACACTTTTGCATATTTAGTTAAGTGTAAAAAGAAATTTATGTTTTGGGAGGCCATACAGACACTGGTAGGCAATCCAATTTACTTCGCGACCATTTCTGATTTGCAAAATCCTTTTGTGCTTCCGCAATTTGCTTGTCTATTAAGAAGACTACTTTTCACCTACTTCATTGCTACGTACACCTAAAGGTCTCTTAGGCTGTCTTTTTTAAAATTTAATTTATTTAATTTTGTTAAGAGTGTATATAGAAGTGAGTATAACCTATCTCTTAAGACAACGACAGATCAATATAACTTCCATTTGAAATAATGTGCAGACAACTTTTGCAGCAGTTGGAATAAGTGTTTAATTGCGAGCCCGAAGGTTCAAGCATCAGTGACTGTGCGCACGGTGAATGTAGAAATTTAAAATTTTACTCATCTGTGTGTGTTTCTGTCTGCGTTTCTGCAAGTAATCCCAGGTGTATCTTAAACTTTGCATTGAGTGCAATTTAGTCTGTCACCTCCTGTGTATGCAAATAACGCTAGGTGTGCCATGCATGTTGCACCATTTACAATCTCGCTTGTCTCGTCCTCAGAGGTATACAGGAATATTGAACGTCACTTTTTGCCTTGGTCACTATTGTGATGCAATCTCTGGATCTCTCCCTATAATGAAAGTAATCCAGCTCGGGAAACTGAATCAATTCAAAACCATTACACAACGACATCCACGTAAACTGAGCACGACGATATCAATTTCTGTCGTAATCAGTACAGTATGCTAGGGCAACGTGACCGGCTTTTGCTTATATGTAGCTAACATTAGACGATATGGTGACTTCACCTTCGATCGATTTATAGCCAACCACGTGCGCGTGTCACAACAGTGACCTAGCCAAAGAGTGATTGGGAATATTCCTATTCATAATTAAAAGGGTGCAGGATAGATTGCACATAGAACGTGTAAGGTACACATAGCTGCATTATATGCAGACACACGACACAATCACACAGATTTCTACGATATGAAATTCGGCTTCCAACTTTGCGCACATCCACTGATAGCTACACCCTTCAAACTCGCAGTTGGCATATTGTCAGCTGAATGCGACTGGAAAGTTATGGAAACCTTTGTAGGTTTTTTTCTTTCCTACAAAAGGTGAAGGCATAAGAGTGTTTTTTTTCTTTCCTACAAAAGGTGAAGGCATAAGAGTGCTGCTGTCAGTCGTACCCTCGTCGTCGACTTCAACGTTTTCTTTTTCCCATTAACCTTAACCAAGCACATGCAACTAATCTTCGCCAATGACCTGTTTGATCTTAAAATATAGAGCCAATGGCATGCATTCAAAAAAGGTTTTGCAGGCGTCGTAGGACCACACAAAGTAGGCAGAACAACAAATAATGACTTTCTTTGAGGTATGCCCTGATATTACTTCGCTGCTGTGGCGCCCTATTTTACGTGTAGCTGAGTAACGTTTTTATTGAAAAGAAAGTTAAGTTGTGTTGACCGCTGGAGACGCTCTAACAAGTAATGAGTTAACATCCACTGTATCGAACCAGCCAATTCCCAACAAATCCAACCATGCCTAACAAGTGCGTTTCGGCAAGTTCGACCATGTACTTAATTTTATGCACAAAAATCACGTCACTGTAAGTACACCTGTAACGGGGCGCCCTTTTTTTTGGGGTGCCGCGAAACTTCACGTACACTAGTACGTGCAGAGGAAGCTAATCTACTTAAACGACTCGATCAAGTTAAGTAAAAAGATAAATGTACTTAATTTCGTTAAGCTCTCAATATAACTATATTCATTATCTAACTATGTTAATCTACGCCGTCGTATGACGACAACCTGCTCACCACTCATTGCGCGCGTCTAGCAGCGATTGGTGGTAATCCATGGTTGATATGTCTTCTATCAACCAATTTTGAAGCAGCGCATGGATATTATCCAAAAGGGGATAATTTTCCTTCGATATTATCCGTCTCGGATAATGTTGGTAGAATATTGTCATACTAGACATTATTTCAATTGACACCTTTAGGTGTCAATTTCATGTAAAGGGCTACACCGTTACATCACCCCCCCCTTGACCATCAATCACCCGATGATTGAATTAGAATTGATTGGGACAGGGTGACCACCGTTTGATCACTCTGGGAAAGGGAGCACTTGTTGGTCAAATCCTATTCATTTGCCAATCCAACGCATAATCTCGAAAACCACGCGAGCTGCTACTGCAGCAGCAAAAAGAGCGGCTGCACGCATGCGTGCAGCCGCGGAAAGTGCCTCTCACGCCTCAGCAGCAGGCGATTCGTCGCATGTTGTCGTGAATCCTCCACGTGGTGAGTCATCAAGTGCGACAGGTACATCCGTTGCGTCTGCAGCGGGTACCTCGAATCGTAATCCAGACGTGTCTGAGATAGAGCTCATCTATTCTGGCGAGTCGGATGCATCATCCGACTTGAAGGCGACTCCTCACGCCTCGGGATCACCCGAGGCGGACGCCGCAAAAGCCAGGCTGACTGGCTCTGGCCAGGGCGGCAGCATCATGACAGATATCTTCGGATCGAGTGATTACTCCGATGAGTCTCCGTCTCACGCAAGTCCATCCAATGATAGGACGCGTGGAGATGGTGGTGATGCACCTATGCATCACCACGAGCGAAGCAACTCAAGGGATAGGGGTAACACTGGTGCCAGTGCTCATGCTGGCACCAATCAAGAGGCCAGGGACCGGAATGTCCTGCGCCACGCTCCTCAAGTGGAGTCTCCGTGGATGCCGCCATCCAGAGAGTGGACCGGTTGGACGGCACGACTACCGAACGGGATTACATCCCTTTGTTCGATTGTAAAAAGATTTGCCCTCCTGATTCCAGCACGGAAACTATCCGTGCTGAGGAAGAATTCTTCACCGATGCGTTCTCAAACATCGATGGTGAAACGGTAGCCGTGTACGAGACGGCAAAGCCTTGGTGCAGGGAAGAAATGCCCTCATCCATAACATTGAGTGCATCAGCCGTGAGGTTTAATCGCTAAACTTGATGCAGCTCGCATCAGGTTTGAAAAACGCAACCCAGTCGGGGCGCGATACAAGTTGCACCGGCTTTCAAGAGAGGCAGGATTATCCTGTCTCTCGTGGGGTGATTCGTGTCCAGGTTGCCTGGACAACTCGAACCGTTCCCGTAGGAAGGCCTACCTTCCTAATGCTCCCTACCGGAGGGCGCGCATCTCTTCCTGCTGATATTGCCGGAGATATTGACACTTTACAATCCCTGTAATCGCGGTTGGTGAGGTCGTTTTCCGACAGCCCTTCATCAACCGCAGCGGGTGGGTATTGTCGTACTGCTCGACGAGACCAAGGACATCAACACTCTCTTGGCGTGAGGCTCCCAGCTGTCCTAGGCTGGTGGATAGCCACGCCAGCGGACGGAGTAACTCGTCCGGACGCCATTCACATCGCAGTGGCTCAAAATACGCTCCACCAGAAAGTGTTGACTACCGCCTGAGTCCACCAAAGCATGTTGTGGCGGTGGGAACACCTGATCCGGCTCGAGGGTCGGATCTGCTTGATGTTCAGGAACTGAACCGTGTAACGGAATAGTTACATGATGACCTGGCTCATGAACGGGATCGGCGTTATGGGCTTGAGGGTCTTGTGAGGGATAATTATAATTCCCTAACGCACGATCGTTCGGACGATCGTGCCGCTTTTGCGTTCGAGCAACTTGAGGACGAACGTTCGAATTGTGCTCTTCGTGATGAGCTGGCTGCAGCTCGTCGAGACATCGCTGAGCTGCGTGAGCAGGTCACTTCGCTAGTCGACCAGACTGGCTCGTTGAAACGGGACCACTCGAAGGTGGTCTCGGCCCTTGACTGTGGAGGTGTTCCTCGCCTCTCGAAACGGGCTCGTACTGATAGCACGGGCGGAGACGTCCAACTTAAAACGTAGGATGCGTACGCATCTTACGAGGCAGTTCAATAGTGTATGCGTTGCCCATTCGGCGCAGCACACAAAATGGACCGACAGACTTGGGCAGTAATTTACTGCTGCCCCCATTTGTCACTGCGTGTTTTGGTAGATTTACTGTAGACTGTAAAACTAGCTCCCTTTATTAAATGAAAGAACATTTTATCTTCCATGTTTGTCTGCGTTTCTCTTCTGTCTGTCTAGTGCATCTGCGATAGAGTCTTGAACGAAGCGGACAACCGCTTCGCGAGTCAGCAGAAATTCCTCTGCTGTTTCATCCTTGTCAACAGTAGTGCGCTTCGTGTGCTCTGCTGAAAGAACGTTGTCTTTAGCAGTTAGGGTGTCATCGTCCTCACTGTGGCAGTCATTTGCGATGCTGAATAAACCAGAATCTTCGTCATCATCATCATCGGTGTCGATGTGATCGACATCGGCATCCATCACGTCGACACCATTGTCGACGGGTGATGAGCAAGAACCAGATCAGTTTTTGTTCGAGCGAGTCCACCCCCCCCCTTAAACTAGATTCATACTATAAGAAGGCGGGTAAACGTGGATGGCGTAGGCCATTCAAGAAGAACGGTGTATGCGTTGTCGACGCGTGCACCGAGTTGTTGATAGCGAATTCCGCCATCGGCAAGAACTCACTCCAGCTCTTAAACGAGTGTACACACCTTCGAAGTATCTCTTCGAGAACGCGGTTGACGCGTTCTGTTTGACCATCTGTTTCGGGATGGTCAGAAGTTGACATCGTCAAACGTGTTCCAAGTGAACGGAACACGGATTGCCAGAACTCCGCTGTGAACCGGGGGTCTTCATCTAACACGAGTTCACGGGGTAACCCGTGAAGTCTGAAGATAGTATCGATGAAGACACGCGCACATCCCTGGGCTGTAATTGACTCCGGTACTGCAACAAGATGTACCATCTTGCTTAAGTGATCAACAAAAACAAGAATACCATTATTCCTGTGGACGTCTTTGGTAAACCGAAGACGAAGTCCATCGATACGGACTGCCAACACTCTGCCGGAATTGATAGAGGCTACAAGGGAGCACGGGATGAACTACTAGGCTCCACCCACTGGCAAACTTCGCAAGCGCGAATGTATTTGTGCACAAACTCATACTGGCGGGGCCAGTAGAAGTCACGACTTACCGTGAGGTAGGTCGTTTCTTTACTGCGATGCCCACTTGTCGGGTCATCGTGACACTCATACATGATGCGCAAATGAAAATCATCATGAGCGGGAATGACGACACGAGGTGTGTCGACGTTGACTGCTGTATAGTGCAGTAGTCCAACACGAACTGAATACCGTTCGGTTATCGAGCGGTATTGAGACGGCAAGCTTTTTAAAGCTTGACGACACGGATTGGATACGTAATCCATCAACCGCAGAAGAGGTTCATCTTCTGCATACACTTTTCGCTCGTCGTTGAGCAGATTCGACGACGGAAAACAAACTGATAGTGTTGCAGCAGTGAAATCACCCCTACTGTTGTGTTGAGCAGTCGGCTCGAAATCGGGCCGACACGAAAGAGCATCAGAGACGACATTAAGTCGTCCTGGTTTATACTCGACGGAGAAGTTGTACTCCGCGAAGAAAGACGGCCACCTCGCCATTCGTTGCAAGAGGTGTGGCCTGTTTACGGCCGTGAGTAATGACGCATGGTCGGTAAAAACTATGAAGAGCCTATCTCCTAAGACATATAACCGAAACTTAGCCAGTGCATATGTAACGGCAAGGCGTTCCTTGTCATGCACCGGGTAATTACGCTCAGCGGCTTGCAGCTGAAGCGACTGGTACCAGACGACGCGCTCAACTCCGTCTGGGTCATACTGCATTAATGCGCAGCCGATTGCAAAATCGTTGGCGTCACGGACCACGTGGTATGGTCTGTCCTGGTCTGCAATCGCCAAAAACAGGCGATTGTATTAAGCTTTTCTTGATACCTTTGAAGAAATGCTAACACTCAGCACTCCATGACCACTTCTAGTTTTTCTTTAACAGACGAGAGAGATGTTCGGTCATGTCGTCGTGATTGCGCGAGTATTTGTGCAAGTACGCCGCCAAGCCAAGGGACTTTCGAAGTCCCTTGACGTCGACTGGCACAGGCCAGTCGCTAATCGCCTTTATCTTTTCCGGGTCAGGGCGTACACCGTTTTTTTCACACGATGCAGCCAAGGAGTGGTATTTTGTTCGCTGCGAATATCCACTTCTTAAGGTTCACAAACAACTTATGCTCTCGCATCAGCGTAATAACCTTCCGGACGTGGATTCTATGAACCTCCATGTCCGTCTTTCCATCCATAGACCGACTATGGACGAAGACATCGTCGAAGTAACTCGGCGCAAATCTCGCACCGATCGCAACAGATTCATAACACATCTGTTGATCGTTGCAGGGGCTTTACTTAGCCCCTATGGCATCACTAAACACTCCCAGAGCATACCACTGGGGGTGCTCAATGCTGTGTACGGGATATCCCGTTCACGCATGAGGATCTGATAGAACCCATCCATTCATCAAATCCATGGATGAAAAGATGGTACTTTTTGCCACACCATCAATGATGCCATCCTTTCTTGGGATAGGCGTTTGACCCGGTACCGTTGAAGCATTCGATTTGTTGAACGCGTGCACTATCCGCCACCCTCCTGTGGCTTTTCGCACTCAGAAGGTCGAAGAGCTGTGTGTGGATGTTGATGATCTCACATGACCAGCCGCTAAACGATCGGCAAAGAATTTGACGATCGCTGTGACCTGTTCACGAGGCAGTGGTCATTGCTTCATGACATAGACTTCGAACCGGGTTTCAGTTTAATCGCATGCCGAGTCCCATTGTCTTTGGGCAGCTCGCATGGCACGGATTCCGGGAAACATCCCTGAATTCCACCAAATCCTTATACGAAGGTTTTGTCTTTGAAAACCTTCAAGATTGAGACGTGTATCGCGCAATCCGGGTATTTGCATCGAGGACACTCTCGTCCATCGATGAGCTACTGAGACCCCTTTCATGCTCAGCAAACACTTGTGCCGACCGAATATCGGCGGCGTACTCGTCCTCTGTGACGAGTACGTAGATCTGCTTGATCTTGTCATTACGCAGATCTCGCAAGAACCTTTTAGATTTTTGCGTTGGCAACTTGACCACCTCCGAAGCTGACTTCGGGGGCGTAACCAGATCAAGTGTACAAGCGCCTACACTTGATCCGTCATTCACCAAGACATTCACTATCTCGGTGCTTTCCTGGGAAAACACATCCGCAGTTAGTTGGGGATCCACACCCTCAACATAACTTTTTCGGGGGTTATCGCTCTCAGAAACGCTGGAGCTTTCTTATTTTACGTGTACTATCATGGTCACGTCCTCTTCGATCGACTCTCTTTCAGTCGAGCGGGCTTGCTCTACGATCGACTCTCTGATAGTCGATCTCGCTTCAACGTGATGTTCATCCTGACCAACACTCATCTCTCTTCTCGGATGCACCCTTCTTGGTGTGCATCCGTGTTCCAGTCCGCTCGATCTCTTCGAGTGGTGAACCTTCGGCACAGTCTGTGTCCCTACACAGGTGCCGGAAGCTGGTTCCACAGTGTAGTGGCCTTCTACACTGTGATCTTGTGCAATCGCACTAACTCCCGTACCACAAGTGAGGCCATCGCACTCACTCGTAGTACATCCAAACGCTTGAGGACGTTTCAAGACGTCCATCAGATGGCCATCCGATAAACAAACGGCAGGCATCTTCACGGATCGATGCTGCCAGCTAACCCATGTCCGGTACTTTCTAAGCCATGGCAGACCAAGGATGACATCAAATTTGTTATCCAAATCCAGTACGATAAAGTCATTATCGTACTGCTTTCCTAGCGTGTAGTGGATTCCCTACACGTTTGTTCACTGTTACGGATGCGCCTGTGCAAAGGCACACAGTCATCCTCGTTGGAGGGAACTCTCGCTCAACATAGTTGAGT